TTGATTTATCAACAATCACTTCCATAAACTTTTTAGTTTTAAATTAATCTGAAATAAGTTCTACATATACATTCCTATTAAACATATTTTCACATTAGTAATGTTGTAAGGAAGAATTAGAACCAATAGAAGGAACCACAAGAAAGAGGAAACAAAACAAAACAGAAGAAAAAAAGAGCAAATAGTGTGCTTCGATCTGCATTCAAACTCCATAGTTTGGATGTGGATAGCATTTTCCATCATGAGACTTTTGGAGATGTCTTAGCTCAGAAGCTCTATCAAAGTTAGTCATCACACAACATGGCTGTTACTGTGTATAATGTTCTCCTGGTTCTACTCACTTTACTCAGCATCAGTTCATATAAGTCTTCCCGGGTTTTTCTGAAGTCTGCCTGCTATAGCACCATAGTATTCCATTACGTTCATATATCACAATTTATTCATCCATTCCCCAATTGATGGGCATCCCCTCAATTTCCAGTTCTTTGCCACCACAAAAAGAGCTGCTATAAACATTTTTGTTCACATGGGTCCTTTTCCTATTTTTGTGATCTCTTTGGGAGACAGCCCTAGAAGTGCTGGGTAATTTTTTTTTCTGACCAAATTTCATGAGACAAAAAAAGAAAAAGATCCCAAGTGAAATTCTGGAGCTGAGCAGGTCTGTGTACCAGAAGGAGCTAGGACCATATGGCTACATTCCTAGAAAAAGACAGTGTTGGGAGAGAGAATGCTGGGAACCCCATTAGATGAGGTACTAGAGTAATTTCTAGTCAATCGGCTGACGCTAGAAGTATTGAAGATAGGATAGCATCTAGTCCTGAACTCTCCCTTTTTGGGGTCCTACTCAGGCAGGCTGGACAGAACCATGGGAAAGGGGAAGGCACATGAAGACAGAGGTTCTCTTAACTGTCTGCAGGCTTGGGCACAAGCCCTTTCTGACCTTTATTTGGTAATTTTATTGGTAAAGAGAGTCCTTGATCTCACCCAAGGGGAAATTCCCCAAACTCTCTAAGTGGTAAGGTGGGGATAGGAACATGACTGAGTTACTAGCTTCTCCCTATGACAGCTTCTTCCTGAATTCCTTTCTCAGGCCAGGAACCTCAACCTGAAAGGTACCTGGAACCACATGTGTCCTCTCTTATTAATGGAAGCCAGAAGAACAAAGACCTCTCTTCTCCCAAACTCATAACAAGTCTGACCTTCATGCAAGCACAAAGCACGGAGTCACCATTCTCCCCCACTGAGGAGGATCATATGCAAAGTAGTCTTGACCCCCAGGTTATACACATGTGAGGGTTATACTCCTAAAAGCTCCTTGATGGTATGAACAATTTCATTTTTGTGTCATATACCCCATGCATAAGTGCTTAATAGGAAAATGCTTAATGAATACTTGGGAATGGAAACATGCATTCACGCCTCTAAGGATGGCCATAACTCCTGAGAATTATGTAGAGGTACAACTCCTCCAATCATTTATTCTCGCCCTCAGTCCATGCAATTGCTTCCTTTGCCCAGGAGCATGTGAACTTTTTTAGGTATTACGTACTGAGTATCTCAAAAAAAAAAAGTCTCTTTAAGAGAGTGTTCCATAGAGGGGGAGGAAATCAGTTTTTCTCTTTAGCCCAAATGATGACTGAGTGTTTTAGACATGAAGCTGCTGGGTAGAAAGTTTTCTCATCATTAAATCTCTTCAGTGGGAAATCAGAGCTCCTTTTTTTCTTCACAGAGGGAAAAAAAAAGTATGACAGTTATAAATAGACGGGCAAATGAACTTCCTTTTGCACAGATTTTCCAAAGAAAGTTTCAGTTTTCTCAAACAATAGGTTAGCTCCTCGATCCTCAATATACAGGAACTTGTGGTCTTTGGTAAATATTAGCAGAACAGTATTATTCACAAAGGTTGCATACCTGACCACTCTGATCCCAGACGTCATGTACTCCCATCACTTCTGGGAAAGACCAGTTTGATTTATTTTTTTTAACAGATAGGAAATAATTACCATGAACACTAGGTTCCCCTTATAATCGTCCATATTTCAACAATCTGGTTAGTTTAGCCATTCTATTTATTATCACAACACAATAGAGAAAGTTAATAAGAAAAAGAATTTAAATTCTTTGTGTTCCTAGGTCCAAATTTTGATAGGCATTATATCAGTTTATTTTCTAACTTGTACAGAAATAGTGATTAACCCTTCAACTGTTGGAATATTTATTGCCACCAGGGTTCAAAACTTCTTTCTTAGGTGCTCTAGTCACAAACATGCCTTCTCTCCTTGTGGGCTAATGCTCAAATGTACCAGCTGTAAGATGTTTCCTAATAC